CACTAAATTGTACATCATACGTGTGCTTAAATAGAGATGTGAAACCATTATGAAGAAGCGAAAGCCCAACTGAAATAATAGAAATGAAAGAAAGCCCCTAACGTAAAATCCAAGAAAGCAACAAAGATAGATTGAACAAATTAAGGTCCACTATGTGTTCAAGTGATGACAGTTTCCGAAACCGGATTGGACCGGCCGGTTGAACCAGTTTTACTCTAATTTTGAAAATTGCAACCGCTGCTTCATTATGTTTCAGCACATCCTATTTAATAAACTTACAACCAGATATGTTAAGTTAAATTGCTCGAAATCTACATGTTAAGTTGTATCATGTATGTGTATATGTATGATGACTTAGATCGAGTCAGAGAAGGTGGATACAATTGATGATGATGAGCATGTGCAAATGATTGAATTTTGCAAGTGATATGATGTAATGAAAGATGTTCAAATGATTATTTGACACTTTTATTTAATTTCTTCTATGACTTTACAAACTGATCTCTATCAATTTAACTTCTCTCAGTTATCAAAAACAAAAAAAAAGCTATATATAACTTTGAGTGCATGACGGTATAATGTACTACCCACCATTTATACATAATATCGCAATTTTAGATTCATATTATAATAAACTTTCTATTTGTATTTGTGAAGCATGGTCACTCCACGATTGGATGATTTCTAGTTAATTAATCATCGCGGTTGGTCCGGTCGGACAAGTCGGTCCAGTTCGGTTTTAAAAGCATTGCTTAATTGCCTTAATTTGATCCCCACGCTGAATTGATTACTCCGTCCCAGGCCCGGCCCTTCACCAATTTTGGTGAATCATTTTGTATTGGGCCTCAAATTTCCGAGGCCCATTTTGTGAAGAATTTTTTTTTTTTTTTAGGCCCCAAAATTATGAAATAGGCTTCAAAATTAGTAAAAGAGGCCTCAAAAAGGCTTCAAAATAGTAAAAAAGGTCTCAAAAATTAACAAAAAAGACTTCACAATTAGCAAGAAGGCCTCATAATTAGCAAAAAATCTTTAAAATTTAAGAAAAATTGTTAAATAAAAATTATAAATGCCCCATAATTAGCAAAAAAAATTTTTTTAGCAGTTTCTACTTTTAAAAAAAACCCCAATTTTTTTTTTCGTATTTGGCCCCGGATTTCACCGGACCGGCACTGCTCCGTCCCATAAAAAAATCTTACAAATAAGATAATCAGAGAAAAATATTCCCTACCAAAACATGTAAAATTCTTTAGTATTACCCGAATTTGAAAGTTTTGGTATCGAAAATCTTAGAACGGAATGAGATGGATACTGAACGGGTCGGATATGTCACTCTTAAGAATAGTGCATTAATCATATATACGTCTACTTTCGTACATATACTGTATGTAATATAAACATGGAACCAGCTGATTAACAAAAGGTAAAAATGAATGATAGAAGAAAAGAGGAGTAGTTGCAAGTAGTGGTTAAAAGATTGATACCAACTCTTTCATCGTCTGTGTCATCTATGGATCCTCCTCACGCGTTGCTGATGCACTTTGGAGACACCTCTTTCTTACCTTGCCTTCTTCTCCACTCTCTTCTTTCCCCCTTTCTCTGTTTCTTCCTACTTTATGTATAGTATTTCTACTTTAAGAGCTTACTCTGACAGTTTAAATGAGTTATTTAAATCGAAGTAACTTTAGGCTAATTAATTCATCCAGGGATCTACAAGATTCAATGAATATATGCATATAGGGAGTCGAGTGATATACTATAGTTCTATATATATATATATATATATATCTTAAATTCGAAAACGACTGTTACATTTTAAATATCTAGAACTTAATTAGAACTATCACACACATATATAAAGTCTAGGTTAACGACATTAACACAAGCCATGGCCAAATTTGTATTGAAAATAATTTTCAATGCTTAAATTTGGTGAACCTCTAGAGTTAAAAACTGTTACTCAAAGAGCTAAGTTCGTCAACAGAAATTAATTTAGTATTTAATTTTATAAAGGATGATAGTAAGTTTTTTAGAAAATAAGTAGATCAGTTATTAGTTTTTTTTTCCACAAGTCCAAAATGAAAATCGGAAAGTTACGCGGAAATTTGCATGAAAGTTACTTTTTTTTTTGGTAGGCTGCATGAAAGTTACTTATACAGTTATACCGGCCAAATTAATATATGTGATGCTAATTAAATGTCTTTCAGTGTGCATTATTGCTACCAAACAACAATCCTAGGTACCCTAATCTACTAACTTGACCAGTTGATAAAGGACTAAATCAAAATAGCGGTTCCTACCTCATTAAGCTTCAGAATTTGTTTTTAATAAAGTTTGATTACAGAAACTAAAACTTCAAAATCTATTATTGCTACATGTTTTTGTTGGATCAAATATTGCTACATGTATATATAGATAAAGAAATATAAAATATAATACAGCAGATGTGCTCTGCATGATGTGTGTATTTTGGTCAGTGTCTTCGTGTAAATAAGATGAAATCCAAGAAAGACAAGAGCTCCAGAGATTCAGGTGGCCGATCAACTGGAAATCAGCCACTTTGATTTCTTGTCTAATTTATATTTTCCAAGTCTCGAAAAATATTTAATCATCTGTCTAACATCTCAAAAATAAAAAAGTATGTATTATATACTGTTATCTTTAGACCAGAGCCACACTGGATTTGTTATTATTTAGTTAGCAATTAGTTTTGTTTTATATATCCTCGGTCTTTGAGGTTTTCAGCGAAGCTTAAGCCTTATGCGCCGTTCGCGGCTATTTTAAAAATGAATATATCAGACAAATAAATTATTTTATCATCCACAAACAAATTATGCTATATTTTATAGATAACTCAAATTACAGAAACTTTATAGTGTTTCATATACCCATATCTTTTTCTTTTTCATTTTTTTATCTTAATATACCCATATCAGTGAAACTTTTCAAATTTACAAACAAAAACTCCTACTCCCTCCGTTTTAATTTAGTTGTCGTTTTAAAATTTAAATTTTGTTTCATAATAGTTGTCGTTTTAGGTTTTCAATGCAAATGTTTGGTGAAAATTCCAGTTATAACTCTACTGTTTTAATGTTTTGGCCAATTAAATTTTTTATAAAAGGTAAAACAGAAAATTTAATGTTTTTCTTAATTTGTATGAAAAAACTTTAAACGAAACAGAGAGAGTATTTGATTTTTTTTTTTCATATACATAGTCCAATAGTCATAACATAAATGTGTTAAGAAATTTGATTAAATTTGGATGAACGCGTATTTCCAAAATTAAGTTCTTCTGAGATTAATATTGTGAGTATAATTTTAATAATACTATGATCACTAAGTAATAACGACATGCATACGTAATTAACGATACGAGTGTGTGTGTGTGGAAGACATGTGCTTATTGGGATTTGTTTGGCTTCAAGAACCCCTAAAAATTCCTGCAACTGGTCCAAGATTCCATGACGACAAGGACCTTTGGCCTAATTTGCATTGATCCGATTGCCTAAGTTTAATCCCTTCGTAGATCCAAATGAACACCAGCCAACAAAAATAATCATCAATAATTTAATTCTCATTAAATACAACCATTAGTATTGTAAAAAAAATAAATCATTCATATTTTTCTGGCTGATATACAAAACAACATCTTTAAGTAAGGCCTTATGTTGGCATCTGCCTCCACAATTTTTAGCTTTCATTACGTTTAAATATATATTTTTTACACAGGTGGCGCCGTGGCGTACATCAAAAATCGAAGTTATTCAACCACTTGATTTTGGTATAGTGCTGACGTTAAATTTATTTTTAGAGATATAAAAATAATAGTTCAATATATCAATATAATGGTATATTGATGGATATATCACTCTAAGTTGTGTTAAACAATCTATATTACCAAATAATATATATCTTCAAAACTTTTTACTAAAAAGATTAGTAACAAGCAGCAAAAGTTGAATGATACCGAATTTAAAAGTTTCAGTCATGAAGACTAAACTCGAGAATCCCAAATTTTGTTTATGTGTTGATCAGTCAAAAATAAAAGAGGAAATTTTGGTGAAAAACGAAAGTGTTGGATATTCTATTATAATAAATCAATGTTGTTGATCCGATCTAAGTTTGGGAAATGTGTGAATTTGGTTGAAATTAAGAAGAGTGTATAAATAAGTGTTTAGGAGAAGTTGTAGGGTAGAGTTTTGGTCTTATTCAAATCACCAAACACATTGATTTAACTATGTAATTACGTCTATAAAATATTATAGATTCTTCAGAAGGTTGTCTGCGTTGATAGTAAATCAACTTAAATTAAACAGAAGTGAAACATGAAGTGGCGAATCTGAGATTACAAAACAATTAATATTTAATATAACGACAAATAAAACATAGGAAGTGTTTGGTTTCTTTAACCTTACGCAATGTTTTAATTAGTTTGAACTCTTCCCGATACCTAATTGGGAGTTGAAAAATTCAGTCCTCAGCCAAACCCATTTGTGGCTCACTCTACTTCTTGTGTTACGCCACACATACACATAATATTTTCTTTTCGTTTTTTTTCTGGCAAAAAAAAAAACTTACTCAAAATCAAGAGCTATCATATTTGTTGTTTTCTTTCATAAACTTGGCTTCCAATTAATTTGAAATATGGAATCATGGATAAAAGTTTCATGAGTGAAAATTAAATGACCTTCTATCTACCACAAGAGATATATCATATAATTTTTGTGAACATATGAAGGCCACAAATTATATGAGTATTTATATCATATATTCAAAGAAGACTGACCAATCTATGTTGTATCTATAAATAGATAACGTTGTGTGTGTGTCAATATAATATGCTAATTGAAAAATAAAAAATTATTGTGGTTAACAATCTATTTTGTGTGTCTATCCTAATCGGTAACTTAACTCAAATCACACCTATAACTAGCTTAGCAAGACACTTCTTCTTATTTATATGCATTTTTTATAAGTCTATTACAACATTTTCTCGATAGAAATAAATAGCCTTTCATAAGAATAACAATACATCAACAAAATTCGTCATACTTTTAACTTCGTGGAAAATTCTACGGAAATTTACATTCGCTAAAAAAAAAAAAGACTACGCACAGTCACACAGGACAATCATATTCGGAGAAAACCAAATTACAAAAACGCCCACTAGTCCAAAAGTTTAGTTAAGAAAATAACAAGGAAATGAGTGGCTAAAAAGTCAAGAAAATCCTTTATAAAGTCCCGCGAGTGTTGATCACTTTGATGCAAAGAGAGAGAAGGAAACACACAAAATAAGTGTGAGAGAAAGAGAGAAAGAGTCTATCTCTTGAGTCTTTAAGTCATGCAGCTCAAATCATCATCACCATCTTCATCATCTTCTTCTTCTTCTTCTTCTTCTTCTTCATCATCATCCATGAAACTCAAAACTCTAATCCAAAATCTCCTCACACACCCTCTCTACCGTTTTCTAAGAGCTCTTGCGAGAGCCAAATCAATCTTTCTAGAGATCTCAAAACACAACAACAACAACAACAACAAGAAACGAAAACTCATGATGCTTTTTCCAACAAAGGCTTCAAAGAACCAACGCAAGATCTTCTTCGGATCTTTCAGATTGCATTACAATTGGTGTTCCTCTCATGTTGCTCCTGTCCCTCAACCTTTTCCTTTCCCTTCGTCTTACATTAATGGTGGGGAAGATGATGACTCTCAGCTCTCTGGTTACCTCGAGTGGCTCGAACAAAAGAAAGTCGAAGATGTGGAAGAGATTAGAGATGTTGTAGCTGATGATGATATTGATCATTTGGCGGATATGTTCATCGCTAATTGCCACGAGAAGTTCTTGCTCGAGAAAGTTGAATCTTACAGGAGATTTCAAGAAATGTTAGAAAGGGGTTTATGAATTATCAGAGGTGAAACATAGATTTTGAGTCTTGTCTGATTAATTGATAATCATGTTGTAAAATATTAGCTAGTTTGATTTGATAATATACCGTACCACAAGGTCGTGAAATGTGTATCTTGAAAGTTTTGGTGGGTAATGTACGAGAAGTTGACACTTTTGGGGTTATTAGTGAAACATTTGATATTGTAAAAACAATAATTGTTGTTGTCCCTCTAACTGGGCACATCTTTAAGTGGTGAGTTTGATTAGTGTTTGGTAAATTACGTCCAACTTGCCTAATTTCTTATTATCTTGAGAAAGATTAAATAAACTAACGAAACGAGGTTTAAGGAATTACAAAAAAAAAGAAGGAATTAGCGCTATTGAAATTTCACAAGTGTTAAAATACATAACATAATTAAACGTGACATTACCGAGTGAATGAAAATTTATTACTATAAATAGAGTTTTATAAAATAGTATCATGCAGTTTCCTTAGGCCGTGAATGTTTTATAGTAATGTCTTTATGTATATAACATGTTTAGTTTTGATCTTAATTTCATTTTCTTACGCAAATGTAATGCCGAGTCTGTAGAAACAGAGATATTTGTATTATTAAATGGAATGTGTAACTTTCAATCTCGTAAATATCTTGGATTTATGATATTCTAAAGAAAAACATCGTGATCATAATAGCCAAAAGAGACTAAAAGGATCGAACAAATCTCGAGGAAAATGATCTAAAGTACAATTTACTGTGCGTTCTCAACTACTAATAGATCCAATTTTCACCTAATTTTGGACTTTATAGGACTATATTGTGGTATCCTCGTGTAATTACAATAGTCATTTCTCCATATTGCATATTTATCCATAAATAATATATAAAAAGACTCGGAGAAATAATAGTTTTCTCATAGGAGTATAATGTAGAGAAATCATATATATAAAAGTTGGTCAACTTTCTCCATATAAATGTCAAATCATCATACAAGAAAATGATAAGTATCATTCAACATTATTTAAATTAAAAATTAGCAAAATTAATTGAGAAAAAATCAAAAGGCTCATATTATGTTAAATCTTCCATTAATCCCTTTCTTAAATGACATCTTCAAAATAAAAATAAAATTATAAAATTATTTTAATAAATCAATTACTACTTTCATTTTATTTTTATTATTTTTCTAATTATTTGCGTTGTAGTTTAGTTGTTTGCTACCTAATATCTTATTAGTTTAGTAATTTTACCTTGGATATTTTCTGATTATTACGTTATGGTTTATATCTTATCATTTGACATTATCTCTTTTCATTTTTGTGTCTTATGGTAAGTTTGTAACATGACATGCAAATTTTTTCAAGTAATGAGATTTTGAGACGTTAGACATACCACGAAATTCAAAATAAATCATTTTCTCTTATATGGTTATATGCAATAGCATAAAATCTAAAAGTGTTAAATAACTCTTTAATTTTTGTTTTCTTTTTCTTCTTTTCATAGAAAACTCTTGAGATCAAAATATCTTATATTCTTGTTGTGTGTATTCATGAACAAATATTAGAATCTTAGATATAAAAATAATCAAATTATACATGAAAATGTATAAATTGATATTTAGAGTCAAAAACGAATCTAACAATAAAAATTGTAAATACATAAGATGAGTCTAATTTTATTAACTATACAATAACAAACAAAAAATAAATATAAATTAGTGACAAAAACAATTAACATATTTTTATGGGAGACTCACAAAAATGCCCATTTTTCAATACCCTTTTTCAAAAATGCCCCATTTGGCTGTCCATTTTTAAAAATACCCATTTTTATGTGCAAAATGACTAAATTACTCTTCTTTTAATAAAAGATATCACAAATATATAAGGAAATATAACAAAATTAGGTCCACAAAATACAAAATATTTTTTGGCGGGAAAAGTGATCCCGCAATTTTTCCCGCCAAAACACTTGTAAAAACTTTAAAATACCTTGTAAAATTTTCCCACAAAATTTTTTTCCGCCAAAAATTTTTTTACAAGTGTATTTATAAAGTTTTACACTGTATTTTAAAAGGTTTTACAACGTATTTATAAGATATTATAAGATTTTACAAGCTATTTTATAAGGTTTTACAAGTTATAAAGTTTTACAAGTTTTTTATAAGGTTTTACAAGTTATAAATACCTTATAAAACCTTATAAATACCTTGTAAAACCTTTTAGAATACATTGTACAACCTTACAAAACACTTGTAAATACTCCGTAAAACCTTTAAAATACCTTGTAAATTTTTCCCGCAAAAAAAATTTCGCCAAAAAAATTGCGGAATCACTTTTCCCGCAAAAAAAAATTTTTGGCGGGAAAAATTTTTATGGAAAAATTTTACAAGGTATTTTAAAGGTTTTTACAAGTGTTTTGGCGGGAAAATTGCGGGATCACTTTTCCCGCCAAAAAATATTTTGTATTTTGTGGACCTAATTTTGTTTCAAATAAGGGTAAAATGGTCGTTAAAAATTAAAAGAGGGCAAACTTAAAAATAGACTTTCAAAGGGACATTTTTGAAAAAGGGTATTGAAAAAAGAGTATTTTTAACAATTTCTCTATTTTTATCTTAACAATTTTTAAAACAAACCTACGCGTAGGCGTAGCGTGAGAATTCACACTAAACATCACAAATCAGACGAAGCTTAGCTACTTAACAATATTGATAACTTGATAACCAAAAGAAAAAAGAAAAAGTTAATCAACGCTCCTTTACCTTTAAGAAATACCACTTATTCCTCAATTTTGTTTCTTCCAATATTCATCTATGATCTATGCATAGTTTAAAATAATTTTCTCTTAAAATTCAAATAATAAAGTATCACACTTTATGCGTTTAATTGAAACTTTACTGTTTTAATGAAATTTTTTTAGAAGTATTTATTTTGGTAAATATACATGATCGAGCCATCGAGGGAGGCCCGTCTCAATAGAGTAGTACTACTATAGTCCATATAAAGTCAATTTTCGACACCCCTATATATTGTTTCGTTGACTTTTGCAGTTTATATGTATGTAGCATGCTCGAGACCCAAAATTTTAAAAAATTATAAATTGCTTCTTTTTTTATAAAAAAATTAAAATGTCGTTTTGATATACCAGACTTATCAATTTTTATTTATATAATTCAAACCCTTTTGTTATCAAATCGTTAATAAGAAACGTGGATCGATTGGATAATAAACCACTACGTAAACTTGAATTTATTTACCTATTCACATTTAATTAGTTATCCTATTTGTTAAGAGAAAAAAAACAAATTAATTAACTGTCCGTAAACTAGTGACTCATTGTGTACAATCATTAACTTCTTCCACAAGTCATATAAACTCGCTTCTTCCACAAATCTTCACACTCTTCCCTACCAGTCACCTCCGCGACACATTCTTGAGCCAGAGATCGCTCGAGTTTTAGGGTTTTTCTTTAACCACAAACTTCATCTCTCCGGGTTCCTCTGTTCGATAGATTCTTTCTCAGACTCTCTCTAATGGCGGACCAGCAAGATCAAGAGCCAAATCCTCCCGCCGGTACGTCTCTTCAAAAACTTCCGATGGGGATTGATCTATTGAATTCGCCCATCGAGTTCTTTTTAAATTTCTATAGATTCATCTCTCCGGGTTCCTCTGTTCTACAGATTCTCTCTCTCTAATGGCGGACGAGAAAGATCAAGAGCCAAATGCTCCCGCCGGTACGTCTCTTCAAAAACTTGTATTGAATTCTCCCATCGACTTCTTGTTAAATTTCGAGAACGCAATCTTCAGTAACTAGGGTTTTCAAGTATGAAATGATTAGCTTGGGTTTATATATTTCAAGGTTTTGGATTCCTCTGTTTTTCGTTTTCTTTCTTCCATTGATGGAAACGGCTGCTGATAAAGAATGGTTCTTCTGTCTTTATACCGAGTGATCTTGATTCTGTTATTTCTCGTGATGCAGAAAAGCCAGAGCTTCTCCCATTAAAGAAGAGAGCAACGGCTGGAAAATCACTCGTTGGGTATAACATAGCACCCGAGTCTGACTCCAGCAGCGACAGCAGTGACGAAGGAGATGTGGCGTGTTTACCCGAGAAAGAGGTCAATAAAGAGACACTCCAAGAACTCCAGAAAAAAGCTTTCTACTCTCTTCTCCAAGCTTTCGCTTTAGAAACCTCGACAATGTCAAACGTAACAGTAACCTTTTTCTTGGTTGAATCTTTCTTCCGTTTGCTTTCTGAGGGTTTTGGCCATGTCTTTTGTTATCCAGAAGAGGACTCAGATCATAGAAAAACTGATGAACGAGTGGGGGATTGCTAACGAAACTCAAATCTCTTTTGCGGATCAGATTCAGAAGAAACTTCTGACCCTACAACAAATGTATGTAATATCATCTTGTCAAAGCTCGAAGATATAATCTGTTCCTTGTTTAAAAATCATCTTCGTTTTCTCAGGAAGGATTCTGATAAGAAGGAAACGCAGATACTACCAGAGACGCCATTGGCCCCACCTGTAAGGAAGAGAAATTGACAACAATGATTTGGCTTTTACCGCAGAGTTTTAACTTTCATTGTCTTTACCTTTTCTCTGTTTTAAGGCAACGCAGAGTTGGACATTTGTTCCTAAACCTGGCAAAAGCTGGGGCAGTGTTAATCCTGAGTCTCTTATTGGAAAATGGGTCTGTATGAAGCTGCCTGATGAAGCTGATTTCGCTGAATACATCATCAAAGCATATGATGCGGAAAAGGTACTTAACCCTTTCTTGTATCTCATGCCTCAGACTCAAGCCGTTCTAAGAGATCTACTTTGCAATATCTCTCCAGGAAATGCATAGCATAGTGAACGCAGAGTCGAATGCAATGGAGGTTGATGGCATTGATCCGTTTAGCTGGATAGATATCAGAGAAGTAATACACAAACTCTTATCATCAAATCAAAGTCTTTAATATCAGAAAGCTGAAACGTTTGATCTCAAACTTATTGTAGATTGCGCCTAACGATATCATGTGGGAAGGTGGACAAAAGCCAAAGTTTGATACTCCCAACCAATCTGCAGCTACAGCTCAAGGAGCACCTTTCTGACAACATTGACAAGGTAACTTTACACACACATTCTCAGTGAAACTCTAATGGTTTTGGCAGAAATTTGACCAGTGAAACTCTTGGTTTCAATGCAGGACAATGCTGAGAATGACCAAGACCCTCTTTTGCATTTTGTTTTGAGATCTTTAGTTACTTGTACAATCACATTACACAAGACCTTTTTTTTGGGTGTTGTTAGCTGGAATTAGAGAAGAAATGGGTCAGTGTTGAAGTGTAAACAGAATCCAAACACTTGCTTTTGTAAACAGTGACTTGTTAGCTTATCTCATCCCTTGTCTCGTCTATAATCGGAAAAGTTTTCTTTATGGTCGGCGACATCGCTCCGGTTCGATTCAGTCACCACTTTGGGTGGCTCTCGGGGATTTCCAAATTCGTCTCTCTCCTGATCTCTTCAGCTTCATTTACAAGGATACTGAAAATTTCCGATTCAGAAGCATAGAATCTGCAAATCTAGACCCGAAAACGCAAGGGATTGGAATCTCCGGTGGAATTTCGAAACAAATAGATCCTCGACTTCTCGCCGGAGCAATTTATATAGTTATCATTAACTTAGAAAAACAATTTAGTTTTAATTAAATATTAAAATAATTTGTTAGTAGCGCGGTTAAAAGCCTTAAAGGACAGTAATTTATTGCCAACACAAAAATGACAGTGACTATTTTTCATTAATTAAGTGAAATTCAAATGGAAAAAACGATGGTTAGTACTTAGTAGATTTTCTTGATTTTTTTTTTTTTAACAGCTTTCTTGATCTTTTCTTTATAATTGCAAGTGCTAACAATATTTTATTTTAAAGTATCACGAGCCACATATTAATTCTTGAAATTTGCTGCTATTATCCACAACCGTTAGATTAGAAGTCCGTACTAATCCAAACAGTATTGAGTAAATGATGTTGAAATTATTAACCGTAAATTCTTCAGTTGCTGACGTGTCGATACTTTAATCCAATTAAGTCAAGTTCATCAACTGATCAAGAACTAACTTCCCTCACAAGAAAGTATAATTTCACTCTTTTACGTTCAAAACTCCAAAAGAGCATCTAAAGGTAAGAGAATCCAAAATCTCGCAACTTCTTCTTTCATCGACCCATGCAACGTTGTTGAAGATCCTTCGATTTCTATCTAGGGTTTCTCTCAAAGACGCACAAGCTTCATCAACAAGACTCTTCTCTCCGATTCCTCTGTGTTCTCAGCAATGTCGGACCACAAAGATCAAGCCCCAAATTCTCCAGCATCTCGTAAGTCTCTTCCAGGTTAACTTTCTCATGGCTTTTGCGATTCTAGAGTTTCGGATTCCTCTGTTTTCTCCTTCTCTGTTTTCTCTACCATTGATGGAATTAGTCTGAGCGGTGGTGAACTTTCTTGTGATCTTGATTCCGTTTGCTGTAGAATCAACTGATATACCGATCAATAATACAGAGACTATGCCGAGCTATAGCAGTGACGATGCTATCCTGTTCAGCTCCATGGACAAGAACGAGAAACTCAGGGAACTCCAGAGAAAGGCTTACTTTTATGTTCTCCATGCCTTCAGAGCAGAATCTCCTGCAATATCCAGCGTAAATTAATCGTTCTTGTTCTATAATATGCATTGATTCGCTTCTTGGAACTTGTGTTCATGTCTTCTCTTCTTCAGCAAGGGATTACTATCGTGAAAGAACTGATGAAAGAATTGAAAATTGACCTCAACACTCACCAGAATTATGAGAATATAATCAAAGATGATCCAATGGTCCAACAATTGAGGTATCTTAATCATGGCTTTTACTACTGCAACGATGTGATCTTCTCTCCCTGCTTCTCTAAGTTTGTGTCCTACCCTCTGTTTTTCAGGAATGTTTCATTGGCGTCTGATGAGATGGAAATGCAGAAACTTACTGCCGCTGAAGAACGGAAAATTACTGGCGTAGATGGCCAACCTCTGAGAATCCGTATCAAACCGAACAAGGACGACATGGCCAAAATTGTAGGTTTTAGAATCATCTCTTTCCAACTCGTGTAGCAGACAATTCAATCTGGCTTTAACTCCCATTTTCTTTTTCCTTTTCTGATTGCTTAGCGAGACATGGCCAAAATTGTAGGTTTTAAAATCATCTCTTTCCAACTCCTATAGCAGACAATTCAATCTGGCTTTAACTCCCATTGTCTTTTCCTTTTCTGATTGCTTAGCGAGACAGGGTTTTAGCTCCTGCAAAGATAAAAGATGGAAAGGTTATAGCTCCTGAAAAGATACAAGACGAAGAGGCAAAACCGAGTTTTACTTCTGAGGATTCACCTGTCCTAAGCTGGGGCCAGGTTTCTCCTGGGTCACTTGTTGGAAGACACGTCAATATACAAATGCCTGACGAAGACGAGTACATTGAATTCCTCATCACAGAGTATGACGCAAAAACGGTAAGTCACTTCATGTTTACTTGTGTGTTGTTCATCAGGTCAGATCTCAGCCCTTCTAAGAAATATAGTTTCGAATCTACAGGAAACTCACCACCTGGTGAGTGCTTTCAGCAACAAGGATTATGAGGACCCGTGCAACTGGATTGATCTCAGACATGTAAAATCAAATTGTTATATCTCTTCTTCAAGTTTTATATTCGTCCTCCTTTTTTCAGAAGCTGAAACCACTAATCTCAAACTCTTTGCAGGTTCCGGCAGAGGATATGCAATGGCCAAAGAGCGATCCTGGATTACCAGTATGGAAACGCCTTCTTAAACCAGGCGAAACTCTCTTGCACGAAACCAGTACAACTCGAAACAAGAAGCAACTTAAGGAGGTACCTTGAAAACAGCTCCAACAAATTTTCCTTGTGATGCTAAGCCCTTTCACTGACACAATTTCTCAATAAAACCTCTGTTAGGTTGGCAAAACTAGCACTGGGATTCCTATCATCAGAAAAGTTGATAAGGGAAAGGCTATCGTTGACGCATAATCTCCAATGCAGTAGGATGCTGAAGATGACAGATGCATGACAAGATTCTACATTGGAACAATCTTATAACCTTGTTTGAGATCCTCTGGCTCTTTATACAATCTACTAAACTCATATTTTGCTGCTATCTGGAATTAGAGAAGTGTACTATAAACAATTCCAATACTCTTTTCTAAATGACTGCCTTGTACACTTCTTAGAAGATTCTTGATCCTATAGAAGATAGTTAAGTATTGCAATAACTCATCACCTCTTTGAACGTTTCTTCGGACGAGTAGAAGAACCTGTTTCCTTTTCACTAGTTTCACTGTCCCGCTTTGTCATTAGAGGAGCAGTGCCTCTTTTAGAGGCGGCACCAGTGTTTTTCTTTGCAGGACTACCCTTTTCAATTGTTGGCTTTTTCCCAGTTAATCGTTTCTGACCAGCAGGCGGTTTTACTGCATCCACTTTGTCATTCTTACTATTACTTTTCCTCTGTTCAGCTCCTCTCTTTCCATTAGAGGAATCAGCCTTCACTGTATCTACTACGGTTTCAGATGATGAAACCCCTTTCATTCTCTTAAGAAAACTAGCAGCACTTTGCTTTTTTGAGCCACCACTAGCGTTGTTACCCTTCTTTTCTTGAACACTTTTCTTTGGCACAGAGCTATCGTTTGAAGACCGGCCTTTACTAGAGATACCAGCATTCAAACTGGTCTTAACGTTTGTGCTCCCTACATTTTTAGCTGTTGAGGGTGCTCCTCCTCTAGTCATCTTCTTAGAAACAATAGGTTTCTCATCTTTATCAGAGGTTCCATCTTCCTCCTCTTCTGAAACTGGCTTCTCATCGACTGTTGGAACTACTTTAGTCTTTTTCTTCAAAGTTTCAGTGACAGACGCTGAAGATCTAACAGCCAAGGAACTACGTTTCCGACAAGCTATAATAGGCACTGAAAGTGTTGGTTTTAGAGAAGAGACTGTGACTTCCTCCTTAGACGTCACCAAGGATTCCTCTTTTGGTGTTGGTAAGGTTTGTTTAGGAATTTTGAGACTCATCTGTTTCTTGATAAGCTGGTAAAGCTGCTTTGTGACATTAAACTCAGAAGATGGCTCGCCATAGAAAACTCTCACATTGTTGACTAGTAGCAGTAAATCCCGAAAGAACTTGCTCCTGGAGGTTTTGTAGTAACCTTCTTCCACACGACTTCGAATCATCTCAAAGTCTATGTGCTGCCTTATTATCCTGTCGTACTCGGATGTTTCCTGCAACTTCACAATCAAACAAATAAGATTCAGGCTTAAAACAAGCCGTTTGATAATGAATTACTATCATGATACTAAAATAAAGACAGCAGAATTTTTTACATTTTAAGGAAAAAATTATCATCAGCAGATTATTTTTGAACAGGATTGTTTATTATAGAAAATTATTTTTAATTACGAGGAATCATTTTGCAAAAACATGATGAAATTTGAATTGCTCCCCCAAAAAAAAATTTATGTGACTTTTAATATTTTTACCTGGCTTTGGAGCCGGCGCGAAAAGTGAGAGCCAATGGGGTGAGACTGAAGAATCTCGATGAAATCAATCAACGGCTGAGATTCAGCGGGGATCTTATTGACGGTCAGAGATTGATCCTCGTTACCCGGTTGGTGCTGGTCTACCGTCTCCTTTCTCGGTAAGCTCGCCGAGCTCTGCCCATCACTCGTTTCTTTCCTATCTTCCTCTCCTTTCGACTCGTCCATTGACTCAACGAACTCGGGCGAGTCATTTCCCTCTCTTTCTGGTTCTGCTCTATCCGATTCCTTGGCCACGCTCTCGCAACTTCCTCTACCCGAATCCTCTCTGACCGGCTTCTCGTCGATCCGGTTCGGTTCTTCGTCCACTGGTTCAGCGATTTTAACATCTTTATTCGTCTTCTCAGATCCGGTTCCGGGACTATTATCATTCGGATCTGGAGAATTTGTCGGCTCGGCGACCGGTACGCCGGAGTTGTTTCCCGATTCACTGTGGTTCTCTTTCGTCTCCGCGATTTTATCTAGATCTGAATTCTCGGTTTTCAAGCTCTTCTCTCTCTCATCTTCCAATCTCTTTACCTTCAACTGCAAGGACCTGTACTCACAAATCCACGATTCAAAATCGAAGGTAACGCAAATCTGGATTCGAAACAAAAACGAAAAGGCAATGGTCGATTGAAATTACGAGATGGATAGATCGTAACGTTCGACTTCTCGTCGGAGTTCATCGACACGGAGCTTTCTCAGCTCCTCAAGCCAAGGAACGGACGAGATCTCGGCGGCGAGAGTATCTTCTTCTCCTTCTGCAGATCCCGGCGAGACCAGGTTACGGGAGAATCGGCGCTTGAGATCGTTGTACTTGTGACGACAGTCGATGGCGGTGAGTGTACGAACAGTGGGGTTCTGCTTATGGATTTCAGAAGCGACGGAGTCCCATGAATCAGTACCGTGACGGTGAACGGCGCAGGCGAGGAGGAGCTCCTCCATTGTGCTCCACGTTTGTTTCTCTGGTGAATTTTTGTCGTTTTCCGATTTTGCCATTAAGTAAATGTAAAAAAAAAGAACAAAGTGGATTTTGCTTATTGTCACTTCTCCAATTTGCAGAAACTGAAATAGAAATGATCGTCTTCTGCTAATCGTTGCTCTTGGCCTCCACTAAGAAACACCTTGGGGCTGATTATTTTTATTTTTGTATCTGTCGGACAAATAATTTATTAATTATGCAAGAGGTTTCGTTGTAAAAATGTTCGTGCAAATGCAAAGGCGCACCAATTGAGAAAAATGTTGAACAACTTTGCTCGTTTTGTCGTATCACTTTAGTGGGCCCAAGCATTACACCGAATCCATTACCGGTTTGGAACCAAAAGCCCCAACCAAGAGAGTCCAATTTTGTTTATCCATAACATTTAAATTTCAAAAATGGATTGTACGGAAGCAGTTAATTTACATATTTAATGTTTAATCCAAACTAAAGAAGAAGAAAAATGACTACTGTGGACAATACATTCGTTCAAATTGTCTGCACTGTAAATCTGTAATATTCACCATACCGACATCGACATTGACATTGACCTTAACCATAGAATGGAAGAGCGTCGAGATCTTGCGGAGGACTATGTCATGCCCGATATCAATGACTATGAGATGTTCTAAATCGTCTTAGATCACTTTGCCATTGACAAATATGATTTTGCTGCAAAGGTATATTCCGATCCGTTAGGATTCGGGATAACCGGAGGACGAGTTCTACCGAAAAAGAAGATAATTTTGCTGCTACTTAGAGAGACCGGTAAGTCTCCTCGCAAACTCTTCTCGAATTCAACTACACTTGCCAATGCTTTAAGAAGATATACAAAATACGTTCAAGGTCATAGAGTTCACACGGCAAATAAGAATCACCATCAAGCTTTACATTGACTGATATAATACTGATTCAAATCAACTCGACATGCTTATCAGTTCCATAAAGAGAGTTCAAAAGCATAATCTCATATAAAACTCTGAAGATTCCATCAAAAGATTCAAAACAAGTTCTGCAAATCTAATCCAGAAGATTCAACGCATATATATACAAAAGCCATAGCTGATTAAGTCGACAAATGTAGTTGGAATTCGAATAAAGCCTGTGATTACCAAATAGCCGCCATAGAAGCTTCAAGCGGCTCCTTTCAAAGCTTTCTTCAGCTCCTCAGCCACATCGCCCTCTTCCTTGCTTTTCTTCCCGCCGTAATCAGACGTCGTCGTTCTCTCGCTGCTCCACCGATCAGCTCTCGATCTCCCGTTGTTGTTGCTCCTCTCGGGTTCGCGGTACTTTGAGTGTGATCCGTAATCAATTGTCGCCGGCGAGTATGGACGGACGTTTGATATAACTTCCCGGAGATCTTCGACGGCTCTCTTTAACTGCTTGTTCTCCGTTCGAAGCTCCTCCATCTGCCGATTCACGGCCAAACACACCTCCGCCACGTCACCACTTGTTGTGAGCTGACCCGGATCGCTCGTGGGTTTGGTCACTTTAGCATCTGAGCCGTCCACGTGTTCGATTCCGATTTTATTCATCACCAAAAAAGGAAATCTCCTCAGGGAAATCGCAGCCGTTGGATCGAAATCGCGTCTGATCTCCGTAGGAACCCTAACGCCCCACCGGAAATTCAAAACGGCGCGTCCTCTCACAGGCAAAGAGGTCCTCGCCGCAACCTCAACGCCGGATAACAATCCAGCGATATCTCCAGCAGAAGTTGACGGCAGAACCGTGACTTTCCTAAATCCTCCGCCGCATCCATTGACCGCTGGAGTATCCACCACCTCAATCGAAGAATCATCTCCCGAAACAGATCCATTCATCGATTTGATCAGATTTGTTTGAGACGACGAATGAGACTTTTTGATAGAGAAATCGCCGAATTGAGGTTTGAAGTGAAGCATAAAGCTAGGGTTTCCTTTACCTAGGAGATTGAATTCAGCGCTCATGAGCATAGAGCTTGAAATCGGAGAACCGAACGATCCCGATCCGGTTTTGACGATTAGAGAGAAAGGGTTCCACGAATCGTTTGGACGGTAAGCGACCTTGAGAGAAGGTCCAGATTCGAAGAAAGTGGAGAGATTGAGACTGAGCTCCTTGGATTCTCCGGCGACGATTCCAGATTGAAAAGGTAAACCTAAGATACTCAAAGGAACCTTAGCCCTGAAAAGAGGCTTTTGCTCTTCACGAAACTTCATCGATGCCTTCATCTTCTTCTACGCACAAATTCCCCAAAATCAAAAATCGAATTCAGCTAGTAACTTATGGAGAGAGTACAGTGATCGAAGTAGAAGGATTTATACGAGTTTTTAATAGTTTTAAAGGAAATTTTCCATTTTTTTCTTAAGAATTGGGAATTTTGTAAAGATTTTGGTTGGACATGAGGATAAAGGCTCCAGAAGTCATTTTTCCGATTTCACCCTCGTGTTTTACGAAGATTAACGGATAACGCAGACTGGTCTGTGGTGTAATTATGTGTAAGTTCCAAGGCTAAAAGATAAGGTGGTTAATGCTTAAAATGAAAGGTGGACAAAATGCCCGGTAGTTTTCGTCTATCTGTTCTGTTTTTTTTCCTCTGTTGATACATAAAGCCCGTAAATACACATGGGCTTAAAGTCAGGCCTCTACGCTGGGCTCTATCACGCCGTTCGTTTTGTTTTGGCGCGATTTAGGGCTTTTCTTGTTTTCTAACCTTTTGGTTTTCTTTGTATGAGTTTTTCTTATTTTTTATCAACGATACGATTTATCCATCGCCTTAAAGAGGTTAATCAATCGAAAGAGAGTAAAAAGGTGAAAATTAGTCTTTACTGGTGGCTGATTAGATTCTGCGTGGATTTATTTGTCCGTTTATAGTCTTTGTTGATACATGCATTTACTGAAACACGAGATTTTAGTATATTAATCCTTGAGTTTATACTCATTTTAGATCAAAGATAAGACTAAATAACAAATTAAGCATGCAGAAGAATTGGAAAGGCTTCTAAGGCTCTTGGTGCATCGCAACAAGGTGTTCCACATTCCGCAATGGCCCTTCTGCTTTTGCAAATCATTCGGGAATGATCGATTTGAACATCATCGTTTCATCTACTCCCACAGCTTTATTGCAAGGTTGAGAAGATTGACCGAAAACTTGTTTTTAATTAACCATTTTTTATGTTTCCATGTTTTTATTCTTTTTGTCACAGATTCATATGTATAGGTTTCAAATTCTATTTTTGTAATCTAAATTGTTTTCATTATCAATGAAATATTTACAATTTAGAAAAAAAAAAAAAAGAATTGAAATCATTATCAAGAGCTGACCAAAATAAATATGATATAGCACATAGTTTTATAGCAGAATTTACCAATTTACAACCAGACGACATTGCAATTAATATCATCATTCAACAATCAAACACGAATATTATTAACTTTAAATATATAAGAAAAATCATATTTAATTTGTTGGAAATATTGTTTATATGTGGGGGTCCTTCAATATTACAGCTAAGCTAGAGATGTACAAGAAGAAGTTGTGAAACTGGGAACCACGTCAAACACATATATGGGAGAGGACCACAATCTATACGGCTTAGGTAAGGACACGTGTCTAACATCCAATGTTTAGTTGCCCGCATGTGGGCCGAATCTAGAAGAGAGCAAAAGACTCGTGTGTTCGACTCTGAGTCTCTGACGCAAGCATTTGTACAAAAAGCTCTCAAACTACAAAACCAAATCTTTTCCGTTGAGTTTCAAGCTCTCTCTTTCTTACTTCGAGCCGTTAGATCTCTTTCATATCTCTACTCTTAATCCGACGGCCATTATCCATTGTTTCTTATCTTATAGTGGACGAATCATTCACCACTGTGATCGAATCAATATAATGTAATTTTGTTGGGAAATATGCTCTGAGGCAAAGTCAGATTGTGCAACAAAAACCTAGGGGTTTATGTACGGTTTAATAATATGTTTTATTAAGGATGATCGACACACGTATATGTTCTCTAATTAACATTTTGTTTGTTCATGTATTTTTAAGTAGTTAGAGAGATAATAGCTAGGAAGCTAGTTGTCTTTATTAACTTATTTTTCGTGCAAAGTTGTCAGAGATATTAATAATAACACTATACTATATATAGCTATGCATTTTGGTATATTCGTTTCTTATTCGTGGTCGATCACTAATACTTATGAGGAGCTTGCTGTATACAGATTTTGATTTGTTTTAGATAATGCATTATTGATTTAAACACTTGAGATTGCAAGATTATAAAAGACTTCTTTCTTTTATTACTTTAAGAAACTCTCTCAAAACTTAAAGTTCTCTCAATCTCTCTTAAAATTCATAAGGTTAACCACACCATTGGCAACTCTTATATAGAGACTTGATTTGATAACTCCAAATCAACCAAGGACTAAGTTTAGATATCTCCTAAACAATATCTAGATAACTCCTAAATATTCCCAATATTATCTCTTCCTTTATTTTAGTAACTTCAAGTTCAAGTTACTCTTCAAGCTTATCAACATTCTCCTCCTTAAGCTTGAAGTCAATCTTTGACACTTCTTGAACTCCAACAAGATCTCGCATTTCCTTGAACTTAACCCTCCCGAGAGCTTTCGTCAAAATGTCCGCCTTTTGTTCCTCTCCGGGAACGTGTTCCACTTCCACTTGCTCATTCTCGACACATTCACGTATGAAGTGGTATCTCTTATGAATGTGCTTGCTACGTCCGTGAAACACCGGGTTTTTGGCGAGAGCTATAGCAGATTTATTGTCAATCAATAGCTTTACCTTTTCACATGATTCACCAACAACTTCACTAAGAAGCTCTTGAAGCCAAATTGCTTGTTTAGCTCCTTCGGTTGCTGCCATGAATTCGGCTTCACATGAAGACAATGCCACTGTCTCTTGCTTTTGTGTACACCAAGTGATGGGATATTCATCGAGATAGAAGATGTGTCCGGTTGTGCTTTTGCCGTCGTCTTCGTCCACATTATGGCTGCTGTCGCTATATCCAACAAGTCCTGACTTGGTTCCACGAGCAAAAGAAAGACCATAGCTTTGTGTTCCTTTGAGATACCTAAGGACTTGTTTTAATGCTGCACCATGGGATTCTTTTGGCTCATGCATGTATCTACTGAGTACACCAACAGAGTATGAGAGATCCGGACGTGTATGGAGTAAGTATCGTAGACATCCTATGCTTCTCCGATATTCCTTCTCATCAATAGCCTTTTCTATTTGTGCCTTAGACAGTTTC